ATGGACGTATTAACTAAATCAGGCATAAGTATTTGTCCAGTGGATGATTTCGTTCATGAGTGTATTTCGGTTTTATGCATTTATCAACATAAGTTCGAGGCGATTTTACGGGGAAGGGGTGAGAGCATGAGTCGGCTCTACTCATATCGTTGCCGGAAAATTCAACGACCAGTCCCTCATCACCTTAAACGAGATAGAGTGAATACATCTTATATAGCATGCGAGAAACCTTCCTTCTCGAGACCAAGCTCTTATTTAAAATCCACTGATAATATCGAAACTAACTCATTAAGAATATAAGTAACGGTAAAATATAAGATTAAATTAAAACTCGGTTTCGAAGAGTTGCTTGGTGATATATTGTGACAATGAATTGGTTGTAATGAATCATTGGAATGGTTTGACCGGAAACTGAAGGATGATTGCCGTGGAGTAAAGACTGTCAGAGTGTACTGAGAAGTCCTCAGCTCACAGTCCTGCATTAATCGGAGTCGCAGGAAGGTGAGTCAGAGACTTCTTCATGGTACAATCCAACATTCTGCACTCCACAGCAATCATTCTTCAGTTTCCGGTAAAAACATTTCACGAATTCCTTGCAACCAACTTTTCCTCAGAAATGGAAAGTCATGTCACAATAAAAAACAGGATTATGAGATGCATTCAACGTACTTCATTTAAGGTGATAAGGGAACTGATAGTTGAATTTTTACACAACGATATGAGTATGCTGATCTCAAAAACATATTTATAGACGAAAAAATGAGTAAATAAGTTTATTTAAAGACTGAGATGGAGTGAACTTTTGTGTGGTCGCAGTCTCTTTTCGTTGTATAGAGGTTGTTTGACCTTGTTTTCGCAACTTGTTCATATTGGTAGGAATATTTAGAGTACAACACCTAGTCCGGAGTCCATTGTATGCATGATCATTTCCAAAGTCGGACAGTGGACGTGGTACATTCCAAGACGTTTCGCCGGCATCGTAGTCGGCACGGACCACGTCTTTGGTAAAGCTTACTGTCAGCCAACTAGCTCCAATCGCCGCCTCGTCTATCCTGTG